ACTAAACGCATGGCATAAGAAGAAGAATTAAAGAGACATCATATGAGTTTAAGCATATTTTATAATTTATCTTGTCTTTTCTCATTTATGGATCGCGTTCCCCTCGCTGTCTTCGTGAATGCATTTTTATTTTCAGGTTTACCCAAGGCCAGTTTACACACACAGAATTTCTAAGTCCTGATCAACAGTCTGCCCAAATAACGTCTGCATAAAAATTTAAGTGCCCAAGTTTCTTACTGCTGAGAAATACAAACAGGAGAGTTTTTCAGAACAGCTTACATTTCTTTTTACCAACACAGTGACTTAATTTTGCAATAGCCTTTGAAATCATAAGCAGGTGAAGTCATTGACTTCAAAACCACACAGACCAACATCCTCCTGAAACAAAACTGCCTATCAAATCAGTCAGGGAGTGGCAGCACTACATGAGCGGCTTAGATGTGAAGCTATTCAAGGACACAGAAATCTCTCTCAGGATACTGGGAGGAAACATAGCTCCGAGGTAAGTTTGAGCTTTCTGTGTGCACACCAACTGAAGCCCTGGTAGGCCCAGACTGTGGACAACACTTACCAGACAGTGGATAAAGGCTGAACTAGCATGGAAGAGGAAGGAAGGATCACAAAACATCATTATTCGATGGAGACTCATTGAAGGAGAAACTAAAACTGAAGATAAATTCAGCATGTTCCTAGATATTTACATAATTTAGAAGTAGTCCAAAGTAAATATTTACAGACAGCATTCTACGTAGGTCAGAATTTTTACTTCAAACATTTACAGTACAGAGACCAGGTAGCAGGTTGCTAATTGCTTGCCATCTGAAACAGTGATTCAGATTTGACTGAAGAACATAAATGACACGAAGAGTTCGAGCCTGCATCCAGGAAACATTTGTTTGCATTATGAAACCACTGTCTGGTTAGTAGCCTGTTCTCAGGATTGTACTGCATTGCACAGCACCTGCGTGAGGCACAGATCTGTTCCAACTTAAACAATTGTTAAAATCTTAAACTTAAGTGACTACACACACAAGAATTTTGAATAGTACTTGTGACCATACAAGAAAACCTTCACTGAAACCATTTTGTAGGAAAGCACAGAAGAAGAAAAAAAAAAGATTTCAGCAAAACTTTGGCTGAGAGCTTTGAACAAATTAAATGTCAATATTAAGAATATAATAGAGAAAATAAAGAAAATATTTCTCTCTGATACAGAATATTATCCTGTTACTTTCAGACATTTAACAGTAGTTGAAGCAGTCAGCTTCCCCTCCCTGTAAGCATCTCTCACTCATGCTGTAACTGAGAAATGAGGTAGATTAGAGGATGCAGCAACAGAGAACCCGAGGGCACCAGAGGGAGGAAATTGAAAGGAAGCATTCACGTCTGTCACTGCTTTTACCTCCGTTTTTGAGACACTTTTATAGACTCCTCACAATGAGGAACGCCCAGAAAGAGCAACTAAGAAGAATGGTTATAAGACTCGACTGTATTTAGAGTAAATCAGCAGCATAATATGGAATAATGAATGTACTCCAACTTTGTACACTAAATTCAAATTGTAAGAGTTAGCTTTAGTTGGTTTGTACCTCAAAGAATAGAGAGAGCTAACGCTTGTGGAAGCAAACACTTGCAGTATCCTCTCTATACACCAACAAATGGCATTTTAACCCTTAGAAAGAAGATTTCAAAGTGCCACCCTCTCCTGTATCACAGTGACCAACATCAAACAGCGTATTACAAACAGACAAATCAAACTGCATACAAAGCACAACAGAATTTTGTTTCCTAAGCAGCCCATATTCTATCACAGAGAAAAGCCATGTCAAGAAAAAAATTAACCACACTATTGCAAAAAGGGTCACTGCAGTTGGCTTGTTTCCTCTGAACTTTTGAGAATGAAGGTCTTTCATCCCCCAACATGAGACATTAGATTTTAGCTAGTTAGAAATCCACTTCAAAGATTACATACTCCCTTTCCAAATGTCAAGGCTCTTTAGTTAATCACGAACAACATCCTGCAGAGTAAAACTCCAGTGCAAAATTTCAATGGCCCCTACGTGCAGTGACACAATGCTGTGAGCCCACTTGTTTGGACACCTCAGCTGTACCCAGGGCCTCCTTACACACCACAGTAATATTCACAACAGCACCATTTTTCCTTTAAATCATCAAGCCTAAAATGAAAAGCCCTGCCTGAGCTCGAGCAGCACATAACCGTATAACTAAACATAAAGATACTGAATAATACAAGAATATTGCCACAAAACTCAAAGCTAGACATCCTTCACGTTGCAGTGTTATCTTTACTATTATTGTTATTACGTTACAATGATATTTATAGTCATGAAGACCATATAATTAACACATGAAAAAGCCCATTTTGGACAAGATGGTTCAAACTCACAGCTTACACGCTTGAGCCCATCTAGCACTAACAGCACACAGCCCATCTGGAACCTCGTCCAACTGCCACCAATTGGACACTGACCATTTTTGTATGCACAGAGACCAGTGAGCACAACGTTCTCTACCACCGAGGCAGAACTGCTCTAGAAAAGGCCGTTTCCCTGGTGCCCTCTGGTAGCCCTGAGGTGAGGGAGGCTGTGGGATGCAGGGGTTGGGGCTGCTGATGGGGTAACCCAGCACCAGCAGCTGCCCACTGACAGCCTCAGCAGGAGGAGAGCATCCTCAGGAACGAACGCACTTCTGCCCCACGTTCCAGAAGACTGACTTCGAAGAGATTTTTTTTTTTTTTTTTTTTGAAGAACGGGCCCTTTTTCTTTAATTATTACTATGGTTGGGTGTTGGTGGTTTGTTTTTTTTCCTTTTTTTTTTTTTTCTCCCAGATCTCGCTTCTCCCCACAGGGAGGATCACGGCAACCCCCGCCCCACCGCTCTGCACTTCACCCCCAAGTTCCCCTCACTCAGGGGCCGCTCCCGCAGCCCCGCGCACCCCCCGCCCTCCTCACGCACACACCGCGGGCAGCGGCACCCCCCCCCCCCACCCCGATCTGCCACCCCTTCCCCCGCCCGGCCGCTCCCTCAGGACCCCCCCGGCTCCAGCGCCCTCCCCTCGGGGCTCTGCCCGACGAGGAAGGAGGAGGGAGGATGGCCGTGGCCCCCGCCTCTTCCCCTTCCCCCTCCTCTTCCTCCTCCTCCTCCTCCTCACAGCGGAGACTCCAAAGCCCCGCTGCCCCCCGCGCTTCTCCTCGCCGCCCCGCCAGGTTTCTGCCCTTACCGACAGCGCGGCGCTGGGGCGGCGCGGCCGCGGGCTCCAGCGGGGTTGGGCGGTCGCGGCGTCTCACCTCAGCCTCAGCGCCACCGCCACCGCCATTTTGCCTCCCCTCCCCCGGCTCGGAGGACTCCGCCTCCTCTCGCCAGGTCCTGGCAGCTACCAAACAAACGGCGGCGCGGCGACTCGGAAGTTTTTTACCGGTCGCGGGGACTCGCGCCTTCCTCCCAACGCGCAGCCGACGTAGCGCTGCTCTGGAGGCGTCGGCTCGCTAGAAAGCGGGGGCGGGCCCCGGAGTAAGAAGGCGGGTTGTTACGTTCCTTCCAGGACCCGCTGGCCGGTGCGGCGGCGGAGTACGGCTCCCTCCCCCCTCCCCGCTGAGGGGCTCAGAGCGGGGGGGCGGGGGAGGGAGGGAGGCGGCGGCCGCCATGAGGCGCGCAGCGGCGCTGAGGCGATGTGACGGACGGAGCGCGGGGGAACCCCTCACGTACACACCGCCCCTCGGCCGCGAGAAAGCGAATGGGCTGAGGTGAAAAATGGTAAATAACGGCCGCCGAAGCGCCAGGCGGCGGCTGAGGGGCGGAAGGCGGCACCTCGCAGCCGTGTGGGGTCCCCGCTGTTGGCGCGCCTCTGCCTCTCGTTATGAAATATTAGGTTTTAAATCGCAACTGCCTCGTTTGTTTGGCTTTTTTTTTTTTTTTTACCCTTTCTTCCTGAATGAGAAAAATGAGCACTGTCCCCTGTCGAGCCGCGTTACGCTGCGCTGCTGCCGACGGCTTTTCCGTCAGGCAGTTTGAAATCCTCACGTTTTATCTTGCAAACGTGAGGCGCTGAGATCACAGACGGATTCCCCTTATCGGGTTTGTAACGGGAAGCACGTACCGTCAGCCAAGATTAAGCTGTCCCACTGAGGAAACCGTGGTCATGTTGCACAGCTTCCAGCCGGAGTCACAACGCAGGTGCTCAGCCCGTGGCAAAGAGGCGACTTTCCCTCGTTAAACACGCGCTTTATTGGCAGCACCGCGTAGCGAGCACGGCTGAGTTCCACTCCGTTAATTGCCTACATCAACACATCTCCAGGCTGAAGTCTTTAACCCCACCACAGCCGACGGCTCCCTTCAAGGCATCCAAGAAAAGCCCGTGAAGGAGCCGGGTGTGTTTTGTGAGGTGTTTGTTCTCCGGATGCTCGATTCCTCTGATTTGCTCTCCCACTTTTATTCTTTAAGCTGAGGTTGGGGTAACGGACTGCTCTTCCACGCCTCGAGCAGCACGGCTTCCAAGCCGCCGTTTATCTCATTGCTTTTCCCTATTTATTCCCTGTCACCTTTCGCTCTGTAACATCTCCAGCGATTGACTTCACCCCTGAGACGCATCCCAACGCTTTTTTTCTCTCGCAGCCGCGCTCAGGACAGCCGCACAGACCTGCGCACGGCACAGCCTGCCCTTGGAGACGCTCCTCGCCCCGCTCTCGAGGTCTCACTTCGCCCACGTGTCCCACAGCCACACCGAGGTACGCGTCGAAGAGCTCAGTTTTGTCTCCGTTTATTTCTTAACGTCCCACACGGGCCCATTTCTCGCTAACAGGGATGCCCCCGGGCCGTGCCGCCACCCAGCCCGAATACGGCGGAGCAGCCCCGAAGCAGCGGGGCCGGTGCACGTTTCTGCGGCAGCGTGACCCCGCCCTGAGGCGGGGAATAGAAGGGCGGAAGAGGGGAACTTTTGGGAGCGCGGAACGTTCGTGCCTCCCGTCCCCGTTTCCCGGCGGAGCGCTGCGCGGCGGCTGTCGCTATGGCAGCGGGGCCGTGGGGCTGGGGGCTGGCGGTGCTGCCGCTGTTACTGTTGGCGGTCCTGCGCTGCGCCGCGCGCCGCCTGCGGACTCGTTCCGCCGCGGAAAGCGCGGGGGTGTCGCGGGATGATGACGTCAGCGCTCTGCTGGTGACGGCGCACCCCGATGACGAAGTGATGTTCTTCGCCCCCACGCTGCTCTGCCTGGGCAGGGCCGGCGCCCGCCTCGCGGTGCTGTGCTGCTCCGCAGGTGAGCGGGGATGCGGCAGGGAGCGGTGGGGCTGCCTGGCCCCTGAGGTGCCGCTGGCCGTGGACGTCAGGCTTCCCACCCGTGGCGTCACGCGGAGGCCGCTGTGATGTTTTCGTTCGTGACGTCAGCGCTGGGTTGCCTCCGTGGGCGGAGCGGGCAGGGCTGTAGTGACGGATCAGCGTATGGTTGGTGTGGCCTCATCGTGGTGTGACAGCGTGATGTCACTGCCTTGCCATGCGTGATGTCAGTTGTGCTGATCCTCACAGCCCTCTGGGCTTCTGCTGCAGTGACAGTGGGCACTGCTGAGACTCTGTGGTTTGGGGGCACCATTCTAGGTTGGGGCATTCTGCACCCGCCTGAGGGTGGCCTCACATGTGGGTCTTCAGCCAAAGTGCTGCTTTTGGCAGTTTCGTTGGCCGTAGTAAAATCTATATTTGAACCACGCACACGGTTTCACAATCAGTTCTCATGCTGCAGCACTGAGATACTCAGAAACTGCATGGAAATGTCATTAAGTTGCATAAAAGCACTCATTGTTAAAGTTTTTGCATTTTGTAGTTCTCTGGTCTTTTAGAGAACTTGCTTTGGATGATCCAGTTTTGATATCATGATATCTTCACAGTAACGCATCTAAAAATGTTGGTTGCAAAACAGTCTAATCATTGAAAAATAGCTCTGAAGATAACCTGAGGTTGTGCTGCCCATCAGTCAGCTCCAAGACAACACTAACAGTGTCTTCATTTGCTAGAGACAAATGTCTGGTTTGTGCTTTGGGTCCTCCAGGGAGGTTGCATGGCCTGCTTCAGTGCTACATTAGCTTTTCTTTACATCACCTTTTCCTGAATTTGGAGTGACCTGAGTTTATTTGTTTATTTGTTTTATCTGCTATGAACATAGAAATCAGAATATTCCTTTGTAGCAGCCTCTTACATATTTTTAAAGCTGTTGTCTGCCTCTCCTGTGTTCGCTGGACTAAAGTACACAATTTCTTTCAATCCTTATCACAGATAGTATTTTCTAAGCTTCTGATCATTCTCCTTGCACTCCTGTGGACTCCATTTGATTCACATCTGTTTCTGAAGCACAGTCACCAAGAACTGAGGCCTTTCTGGGCCTGAATCAAATGAAAGACTCTCAGAGGAGAAATCTCGCAAGGAATTTTCCCAGCATATTACACTCCTATCTTCTGTTTTTCTTGTTATCTACTAAAGCTTGAGATAATTTTTTTAGTGCACAACTGATACCTAATCAGTTATTCTTCCTGTGAATTCAAGGTTGTACTGTTGTGCTTGATGGAACACTGCAGTTTTGCATTTCATTATCATTACTTTGTTCAGTTCTTTTGGATGTAGGAAGCAGCCTCATGTTAACTGATTTATCAGACCACTGCTGTACATGAATTCATGAGCCTGTGGTGAAAACTTAATGTTTTAATGTTTGTTCAAAGGAGTATTTTAGGCTAAAAAGATATACATCTTACACTGACAGCTGCTTGTATTTGGGAAAAGGGACTGCTGTAATTCTGAAATCTCCAGCTTGTTCACTGCCAACTTCTGCATTCTCTGTTCTCACACCTTTCTGTCATAACAGGCTGTCTAGGTGAGAAGACAGGGATTAAGCTATTGTTGAAGTCTATGGTACATCGATTTTAATGATCCCTGCATACTCCCCATTAAAGATTTAGTGCAGAGCTTTCAGTTGTCTTTGCTGAGGGACAAAAGTCTGTGGATCCTGTTTGGCTTTTTCCCAGCTGTGACAAGATTACTGACATGCAGTTCTGCCATTTCAGTTGTCAGGATTAAAAAACTGCTGCCAGTAGAGAAATTTCCAAAGAAGTGTTGTGTTTCTTTTTTATTTTGTTCAGATTCTCTTTTTCATTGTCTTTACAGTAGTCCTGCTTCAGTGCCATGAAACTTTAAATGGGTTTGAGACCGTCTTCTGTTGCATGTCTTACACGTCTTCATAATGGAACTAGCAACATATATAGAAAAATGCATTCACTGAGCTAATAGCTTTCTCTCTGCCTCTTAATAGCCTTTTGGTGATTCAGATGGTTTATCCTCTCATTGTTTGTATGATTGATGATGACAAGTGAGTTGATCAAAGACTCCGCAAATTGTAAGACTGAACCAAAATAATGACGTAGGAACTGTTGTATTTGCAGTTCTCACGTATCAGTCAAAATGCCACAGAAATGAATCAGAATTACAGCACTGTGAGGGGAAAAAAACAGCCTTCTCCACACTGAGTAATCTTTGAATTAATAACTCTGTATAAATGTGTTTTGTTCTCTGTAGTAGCTGGCTCTCTATTGTGAGTGCTCAATGGATGAGTTCCAGCAGCATTAGCTATTCAGCTGTTTTTGCTTTCAGTAGCTGCCCGTTTTTTCTTGTTAGCATTTATATATTCCTAATGTCCTGACACATTTCTCAAGCTGGGGAAAATGGATCTGTTCCTTTGAGTTCAGTAGAAGTTAGGTATTTTGAGAATAATGGCACCACTTGGATAAAACATCACCTGCAATCAGTTACTGTGCTATGTTGCAACATAACTTATGTTACATTAAAACACAAGTATCATTAATTCCCATGCAAGAAATCAATCTAAAATGAAGTACTCATATGGTCCATCTGAGGAAGGCGCATAGTTAAATTTCTTCTTCTAAAGCTGGAACTTGTGGTCCAAGCTGCAGACTGCCAAGCTGACGTGTTCCCCAGCAAACCCACAGGTAATCACTGTCACAGTCTTATAAAATCATTCACTCACAGTCTGCAAGAAGAGAAGTTGTTTTTTTCTGGCTGTTGTTCACCTCTTTGAAAATCATACAAAGCTGCTAGTGAGTGCTCAGATTGCAACATTTCTTTAGAGAAATGCTAGATTTAGATGAGTCATCCCAAAAGCAATAAAAAAAAATCTAGTGTAATTCAAGACAGCTGACTACAGACTCAAATCATACATTAATACACAGCTAAATTTTATCATTTTGTTGCTGCAAAGTTGAAATTGGGCTGCAAATGTCCTGCACAGTGTGGCATATTGGAAGGGACCATTGCAGTACTGGTATAGACTTTGTATGATTGATTCCAAGGAAAAAAAAAAAGGTAATGTGAGGACAAGATGAGAAGAAAAGATTTCAGCGAAGGAGACAGTGCTTTAAGTGTTTCCCTACTAGCTGTTGGTCTCCAAATATCTATCAAGTTTTAACTTTTCAAAAATACCTTTAAAGTAGGTTCCTGCCTTTTTTGGTTCTGTAAGTTCTTTGCAATTGTAGCTTCTGCTGGAATTTCCTCTGTGAATGATGCGGACTTCTGGGAAATCTTCATCTCAAAAACAGATTTTTATGTTGGAATTCTTCATTCCCTAAAATCCTCTTAATTTCATCACTGTGTTCTGTTGCAGTGTCTTAGTGTTATGTGGCGCCTACTGTTCATTAGAAGTGGTCCAGGGTGTACTATAAACTTTAATCACTTAAAGAATACAACTCAGGACAAGTTTTCCAAGTGTTGTCCCAGCAGTTCTTTCTGAGGACTTTGACTTTGCTGTTCAGCCTGATTCTGTGCTGTTAAGAGCACAGGAGAGGAGTTCATGGTACCATGCCTAATAGTGAAGGAGGAGTGGTTCTTTGGCCCTTCCTGAGGAGGTTAATTATTACTGATTTGTTTTGAATACCTCTCTTTAAAGTGGACTGAGGTCCCACTAACCTCTTTCATAGAGACACCCTGGAAATTTGCCAGTGATAACAGTTTTAGTTGCCTCACTGGAAAAGCTGTTTCTTCTGTGTTTGTGAGAAGATCTTGCCCAATTGTTTTTGTTGGTGACTTGCATTCAGATAACTTGTAACCTGTTTGTCCATGTAGACACCCTTAGAAAGCTCCTTCCCACCCACCCCCAAGCAGAGTTAGCCTTTGGAATTTGCAAAAAATACAACACAAGAAAACAGAAAGCCCAAACAACAACAAAAAAAAAGAAAGAGCTAAAAATTTTGGTGTGAGCTTGTTTGAAAAAGCCATCAGAAAGTGCCATGTCTCATCAGACCGTTGTCCAAGCAGCCCATTGTCCTCCGTTTAGTAGAAGCCAAAGTCATGCTTCTGCTAAAGACATAGGAGATCTTCCAAACAGCAATTCTGGAACAATCTGCTTGGGCAACTGCTTCTAAACTTCTATTTGACCAGTGAATGTCTTTTTTCTCCATGATAAACTAAAGAGTGTTGCTGTTATTTGCAGGGAACTATTACAATCAAGGAGAGATTCGTAAGAAAGAACTGGAACAAAGTTGTCGTCTGCTGGGGGTTCCTACATCCAGTGTAACAGTCATTGATCACAGGTAACTAGGTTTTATTTATAGTATTATTTCTGCGCTGGTTTTAAACAAGAAGTGAAGTTCACTTCAATGTTCTGTGGCAGCTTACTGTATCATTCTATATATATTGTTTTGGGGACTGTCAAAAAAGATCGTACGAGGTATTTATGTGAACTGTTAGCTAAGAAAATCTAATTAATTCAGAACATAAATCAAGAGTATAACGGGGATTACTGTCCTTAGAGTAAACTCTGTTAATACAGCATTTCAAGTAATGATAACTAACTAACTTGTAGTACAGTGTGTTTGGGCAACATGATCACTCTTTGTTGCAATTTTTGCAGTGTTATCCAACACACATACAAAGAAATCTCTGAATTGCCAGAGGCAAGTTTGTGCTGAAAATAAAACTGTTTGGAGGATTGGCAGTACCATTACATTGCAGTTATTCTCCCACGTGATTATAACATAGTTGCAGATAGTTGAAGTCTGTGTTCCATGATAAGATAACCATATAAACACATCAGCAGTTGTGCTGTCTGTAAAACAATGCAGTGCCTATGTTATTTTGGTAGCCATCGGAGCACTTTATAAAATAAGAAGCCTGCCAGCTTTAGCCGAAGAAGCCATCCTGACAGGAGAAATTCCTGAGGGTGTATTTTGGGGAGACAGAAAAATAGAATTGCTTGGAATCTGTTTGTTCATATGTTTGAGTGGTTTGTTAATTGCCAACAAGTTTTTCATCTGTGGGTGAGCTGGTGATTGACTGCATTTAATGGGATGGTCTGAAATGGATGAAATGTCTTGTCAGTCTTTGCAGAGGAGGCTGCTGCTAGCAAAGCTGTGTGTAGTATTTCCCTTGCTTCTAAGTGTTTTGTTTTAATTAATTGTAAATTAAATTATGTGAATAGTTCAGAATCAGATATAGGCATTAGTAGAAGACCTTTGTAAAACGTAACATAACATTAATTTGATTCACTTAAAACATGTACATAAAATAAAATTTTAGGTCATGAACTTGTAGTCACCTTTTTCATAGGCTAGTCCTTATATGGCTAGTGTGAAATTCTTTTATATGTATAATTCGGTTTAGTTCTGGCTAAAAACAAAATGCACTGTGGTGCTAAAGGCTGTCCATAATAACATGATAGTAAGTTTCTTTCAACTGAAACCGTGCAGGATTTCTGTATGGGTTTTTTGTTTGTTTGTTTTTAATGTGTTGTTTTCTTTAGCTGTGTCTAGATATGGAGGTAAGTGATAAAGCTGACACTTCTTTGTTTTGGAATTAACTTGGAAACTGCATTAATAGAAGGTGACTTGGAATCAGTAAAACTCAGAAGGTAACATTGCAAGGCCTCTAACGTTGCCCAATCTCTGCCCATCTGGGGTTAATGTTTACTGAAATAAATAGTGATTTCTAGCAAACACAGTACAACCAGTTGTTTCAATTGTAAACAGCTATCATGAAATTCATAAAGTACATTTTTGTTTACGAAGAAGAGTCTTTAATAGAAACAGACAGTTTTAAAGCCACACCAACTAGAAAAGTCAGAGTTGAAAAAAGCCTGGCTCCAGGCAGGCCCTTTTCCCATGAACATATTTTCCCTTGAGCTAAGGCAACAGAAACCACAGTCCAGAATATGAATCCTCTTGAGTTCTTTGCTTTTTTTAGCTTTAGGTTTCTCTCCAACTTTTCAGCTCAGTTAGGAAAACAGCACAGGAGTTGTTTTTCCTTTGGAATGAAAAAAGACGTTTCCGTTTGCTTCTCATGAACTGACTTTGGGTAGCTTCATGTTTTGTAGTACAATTATATGATCATACCCAGAACTTTTTCTGGGGGAATAAGGAAAAAAAGCTGCTGAGTTTTGCTAAGCATAAGTTTGCTAAATGAACCGTCTTTTGCAATTTGCACTGAGCCCAGAAGCCTGCTGGTCTTTCATGCTCTAAAGCACTGTTTGAGTTCGGTTTCTCTGTGATGCAAGTTTCCTGATACTGCTCAATCATCTCCCAGTGCACACAGTCCTGTGCTGTAGTACTGCAGTTTGCTCAGTAGAAAGGTGAGGGTGATTTCAGGGAAATAACTTTGGATCATTTTCCTTCAGGGCTTTCATTGTTAGTGATATGCACATTTATGAAATTAGCGACCAATGTGTGATTTCTGCTACTGGATGCACTGCTTGAAAAGACACATCTGTGTCATTGCCCAGAGTTCTGAGGCACAGGCCTAGGATGTTATAATGGCAATGCTAAGTCATGGCTTGAAGCAGTGATGGAGCACCTGGTGGGAGGGCAGGGCCAACCTGGGGGAGCTCAGGTGCAAGCAATTCACCTGAGTGACCAGAAGGGGTAAAGCCAGGATCCGCCCCTTCCCAGACCTCATTTAAGGGCTGGCAATGGAAGTGAGGGCATCTTGCTGGAGATCCCTCCCTACCTGAGGCCTTCTAGATGTAAGCAGATTTTTTTTTCCTTTGTTTCTGTGGCCAAAGCTGCTGCTTTTGGGCTTATCCTCACTTGTTGCAGCCTGAGACTTTGCTACCCTATTATATTGCTGTGTTTTCTATTGCATTGTAATGTTACAGATGCATGACATTGTTCTGAGAAACAAGTTTAGGTATGAGGCATTTATTTCAGAGGTTAGGTTGCAGTGAGATAACCATCAAATCATCTAACTTTGTTGTGCATTCAGGGAGCCAACCTGAGAAGTTCTTGCTGAATTTAGTTCAGAGCTTGCTTATATGGGGAAGTTAAGCATGTTTATAGTGTATTATTCACTCAGCAATAACTCATCTAGTGGAAATACTTTATGAAAAACATCTGTGGATCAGATGTTTGCAAAATGGTAGGAGATGAGAAATAATGTTTAGATGACACTGAATTTTTGAAGTAGCCATATTTTTGGTGCTTTGGGTAAAGCGCTGGGGCTGAGGTTCTTTAAACCTACTCAGAGTTCCCAGATTCCTTAAAGTCAGTAGCTTTCCTATGCCTCTGCTACCCCTTCTCTAATTTACACATAATACAGAAGTATTTGTCACAATGGTCTGATGTTAAACATGTTAAATTTCAATGGAAATTAATATCGAGGGAATACAGGTTGTAAGACTGTTCTCATCAGTGTTCTGCCATCCCTATGCACTCTGTAAGATCAAAATCCTTTGGCTTTTTTTTTTTTCACTTTCTTCCTGACTCTTCAGAAGATAATTTTGCATTTGTGTAAAGAATTAGTACAATGCTTAAGGACTGTAGCTGGCATGCTACCAATTAACATTGCTTATGCAAGTACTGGATGCTTTACATTATCCAAGCTGCAGACTTGTATTTTGGAAAGGAAAGCCCAAAGGATTGCTTGGTCTGGATCTGCTCCAGCCATTGTAGTGCAGAGCTGAGTCATGCTGTTTCCTCCTCTCTTTGCATAATCTACAAGTGAGTGAGCAGAAGTTTCAAGATGTAGAAAGGAATGTATCTGAAAGACGAGATGATTGATGTGCTCTGTAATCTCATTTGGCCAGGCAGATATAAAATCAACATGACACTTGAGTTACGTGTGAACCAGTAAAGAGAAATCTTCAGTTAGTCTGTCTGTGATGAAATCTGTGATAAGACCAAGCCCTTATTAAGCAGTCCCTTACCTTAAACAATGAGTATATCTCAAGTATAACCAGGATTGATAGGTCAGGACTAGTTCAGTCTGTACCAGACAACTGTTTTGCATCATTTCTTCAACGGGCGTTTGATGTAGTTATACTGAACAGCATCTCAAATCTTCTGCACAAATACAGTCCTGAACTGTACCCACATTTCAGCTGTAGAGATTGGAGGCCCCTGGAAATCAGCTGAAGTTCATGAAAGACAGTGATTTTGATACTTAGCTGTAAGTAATTAATCTGTGAATAGATGCTCCTGAGCAGCAAGCTCTCCCTCCTGGTATATGGAAAACATTAGCATCTAATTGATCTAATAAGAAAAGTTAGTTAAGCTCCCACTAATGTTGGGCACATTTGCCAAAGCCCTTCCAATCCAAGCATGTAAACAGGAGATGTTTTCTAAGCTGTTTTCACTTTCTGAAGAGAATGAGCAAAAACGAAGCCCAAATGAGTCTTATTTTTTTTTCCTAATGTCTGTTTTGGGTTAGTGGAAAGATAAGTATCAGGCATTTTACTGCAGCTTCTGAGTCTTTTGTTTGTGATTGGAGTGGACAGAAAGTAGGACTAATTGCGTCCTTTATATGATAGAAAAAAAATACTTGGACCAAGTTTACACTGTAAAGAAAATAATAGCTAAAAATGGTGTAAAGTAGAAAATTTTCCACTCAGTACAGAGACTTACAGCAAGTAACATTACGTCTGTTTCTGAGTTTCCATGGAAATGGCACAGCATACACTTCTCTTATTATTTCACTTAAGTTCACAAGGGCTCTGGTTAGAGAAGACATCTGCCTGTACAGAATTACAGCAGAGCTGTGAGTTCTTTATGAGGCAGCACAAAAAAGTTTTTTTTTTTTTTAATTTCTTTTTTTTTACTATATAATAATTATTTGGTTTTGGTCTTCAGTTTTTTGTGTGGGCTTTTTTTTCCATAGGTAAACAGGCTGTATTGCACTTCCTCGTGTTTAACTTGTAACAAACTTCCTTCTCCCAGCTCCCCATGTCAGTGAAGTGAGTCTGTAAGGTCATGGGAAAAATACACCCTTAAATAGTAGGTGTGTCTGGCTGGGTCAGTGGGAAGGATACCTTCAGAGAATGAAATATGTAACAACCTTTTGATTAGAATTTGAAAACTTACATGTGGACGGCTAAGGAGTTTGTCCAGTTGATCCAGTTTGGTTTTTGCTGTGCTTAGGTTGTTTGGTGATGGCTTTATGGATTTGTATGCAGGGTGCTGAGCGTGTGAGAACTCTGTGCAAGCTGTCTAGTGGGAATCTGTACTGCGATTAAGAAAGCCTGCCTGAAAATGGAGGACCAGAACAAAATCCTGGCCTCTGAGTCTCCTGGGAAGACTGGCAGTGATTCCATACCAGTTTCTGACTC